CTCAACTCATGTTATTTTAATTGGACCAGAAATTAACAAGGACAAAAGTACCTTAAGAGATTTACCGCGCTATTTTACAAGGACTGCTTCCCCTGTATTGCAAAATGCTGATCATGTTGCCCTCTGCACTTATCCTCTACTGAGTACCATCCTCCATGGATTTTTCGCTTCTCTCCTAACAGTTTATTTGTTTTGGCTTGGAAGGCGGATTTTGAAGCTGGTTATCAATAAGGGTTTGCAGAAGAGAGTCTACACATTAATATTCTCAGTTTCAAGTTTCCTTCCGTTGAGGGTTGTTTTACTTGGTTTATCTGTTTTATCCGAACCAGGGCATTTTCTGTTTGAATCTCTTGCTTTCTTGGCTTTTCTTGCACTTCTGTGTTGTGCTGGGGTGTGTATTTGCATGCTTGTGTACTGTCCAGTGGCAGATTCTTTAGCCCTGGGGAATCTACAGGACCTGGAGGCTAGGAGAAGGATTCTTGATGATCATGACACCATATCTCTCATTGCTAATCAGAGTCATCTTGAGGAGAGTGTAGGAATTAGTCCTGGGAGGAATTCTGATGCCTCGACCAAGCGTGGATCGATTTCTTTTCGTACGTATGGAAAAGATGGGAGTTCAACAGGGACATTTGTGGAACTGAGCCTTTTCTCTCCCAGCCGGGATGCCACTCCACCAGGATCTCCCCCGCTTCTCGGTTGGCCAATGCGCCCTCCCGAACAAGTTCATGGACCCTGAAAAGCAGACAAAGAGAGGCTGAAAATAGTTGGTGAATATCAATTTTGTGGTAAAGAAAACTGATTGTAAAGGGTTTAGCTTCAATAAGGATTTTCATTCCTGGTTTGCTTCCTAATTTTAGATGTGATGGTTTTTGGTTGATGGAATTTATTGCCTGTTTTGCACCTGTAACATTGCTCTGTAACCATTTTTGGTTTGACTTATGCTCTGAGATTCACAAATGAAGGTGTCCCTGGATGGGAGAATTTGGGATGGTACAAAAATATTTTCTTTTTTTGTCTTGATTTTTGTAGCTTTTACAGTGTTGATTTGAGTTTTTTTATTTCCCTGACTCTCTTAGGTTCAGTTTTTTTTATTTGTTCTTTTCTGAACATTTTCTCAGATTCGGTTGACGGGTGTAAATTCATATTTCTGTAGTGAAGTTGAAGGTTTGGTAGTTTGTTTCAACTTTTGAGCTATGGGATAAACTAGTACATTTAAAGAAATATCTCTCTTTTTAAAGTGTATTTTAAAAACAAATGGAGATTGCATTTACATTAATTAAACAACAAAAATTTATAAAATCTGATTAAATAAGCAAGAGGGAGAGAAAGTGAGAGAACATACTCTATATATATATATATATATATGTATGTATGTATATATTTGGGTTCTTAACAAACAAAATAATATATATGCGCACCAAAATACCTGCTTTCTTTTTTAATTGCCGATATGTTTAAGTAGGTAACACGTGAGCGCGCTACTAATTATTAAGTCTGATTAGTCAAATCTTTTTTCCTTGGACTCAAAAACTTTTACCTTTTTTTAATAAAATCTCTATTTTCTTATAATTAAGTCAAGAGGGAATTTTTTGCATAACTTTCTTTCAAATATGATTTGATAAATGTAACGGTCCCGGAAATTTGAATGAAATATATGTATTAAAAATGTCAAGTGCGGAAGTGTAATAAAAATTTTAATTAACATCCCTTACACAATAACAAAAAAGTATTTAAAACATGAAAGAACAAACTAACTAAAAGAGATATTCGAGATAAGAACTATAAATATAACTATGAAGTCTTTAGGCGTCCCCTTCGCCGTCTTCCTGCGGAACGGGCTCGGGAACAATGTCTTCCTGATCTGAAATGGTTAAATAAGAAATGAACTATACCAGCCCAGTAAATACATCACACTATCTCACCGCCACGGAAGTAAAGGTGGGTAGAAAACAAAAATGACCAATGAAGCATAATTTATAACGAACTTATTTATTAACATAAAAACCTTTACTGTCCACTTACCTCGGTGAGATCCATAAAAATAACACATGAAAGCAATAACGTATCATCATCATGAAATCATATAAACTTTATAACATAACACATATCATACATTTACATTTCAATCATCAGAAAATATATTTCATCTTTTATCAGCCTACTAGTATCCCTGAAGATCCATAGGGGGTCCTCGCTACACGTGAACCATTAACATTTACAACCTGATTCCAGGGCCGCCCCCATACCCCGTCCGGTATGGGCGCCAAACACATAAGGTCTCCATACCCCGTCCGGTATGAGAGATCACGTTCCCGGTAGGATTCCCTACGGACTCGGTGTAACGCCCAAATAATTTTAAATTATTATTATTATTATTATTAATTTAATTTAATTTTATTTATTTTATTTTGTTTATTTTAATTCAATTTAATATAATAATAAAAATAATAATAATTGTAAAAATTGAGTAAAAATATTATTTGGATTTAATTGAAATTGATTTTGGGAAAAAAAAGGGTGAAAATTAGTATTCCGGGGGTATTTTTGAAAAGAAAATCGGAAACCAGGGGTCAAAATGCAATTTAAAAAAATTGTGCCCTGTCAGCGCCACGTCAGCAGCCACGTCAGCGGCCCAGTCAGTAGCCCTGGCCAACTAGGGCCTGCCGCGTGGCAAGACCACGTCGACTGGGGAACGGGCCACGCGGGCGATCCGCGCGCGCGCGATCGGACGACCTAGATGCGTCCCCGCGCGCACGGACGGCCCAGATCAAGCGTGCACACGGACGGCCCAGATGCAATCGCACGGACGGCCCAGATGCACGCGCACGGACGACCCAGATTCAATCAAGAACGGACGGCCCAGATTTAACCAAAATGGACGGCTGTGATCAAAAGGCAAAAGGGTATAAATAAAACCCCTACATCTGACCACAAAAACCCTAGCCACCTGCCCTCGCCGGAGAAGACGAACCAGACGCCGGAGGAGCCGGCCGCCGCCACCCGCCGCCGCACCGGGGAGTTTTTCAACCACCGATTGAGGTAAATTTCATACCCCCGACTCGTTTTTCCACGCTGAGTTCCCCTGTGGCAAAATCGGAGCTAAAATCCCAGCCAAATGGCCAGAAAATACGGCCGAAACCCAGCGGCGCCGCCGCGCCCCTCCTCGGTTTTTGCCTCCGATGAGGCCCTTCCCGACCTCCGTTTGATACAATTTTTATATCACCGTGATCACCATTCTTTTCTCTACAGGTTGATCGGAGCCGAATCACCAGAACACGAACCTCGCCGGAGAGCCACCGCACCCGAGAGCACCACCGCCGGTAAGCTTCGATTTTTCGTAATTTTTTGGCCCCCCGAGGGCCCTAGGGTTGTTTTATCACAGGGACCGATGCAAGATTGGCTGAATTTGGCCAGAAACGGCCGAAAACGGCCAACCCGAGGCGAATCGCTGCCGCACGCGGCGGCACCGTCGCCGGAGCACGGCGGAGCCGCCGTGCCGGAATTGCGATATTGGCCAAAAGGGGCCCTGGGTCTAATTTGGAATTTTTTGGGACACGTGCAGATACCAGTAGTGCGTTTAAGTTCTCCGGGAAAAATTCAGGGAAAATTAGGGACAGCCTGTAGGCGCACTGTGGAGCCGTGTTCGGACCCCGAAACGAGTAAGGACCCCTCACCCTACTTCCTATCACGGTATTAAAGTTCAATAAATGATAAAACGGTATTTCATGAATTAACAGATGTGTGAAATTGTTTAAGGTTGCTAATGGAGCCCGAGTCTGGTGTGTTTGTCCGTTAGCTGTTGTTTGGCCTATTTTACGATTTTAAATGCAGTATGAGGTCTTATGTTTTTATTTCATAGTTTCGTGTGCACATATCACTGTTTTATTGATTATGGGTTGAATGACTGAGAACCCGATGTTGTATGTTGTATTGTTTGGCATAAATTACTGGTTTGCTTGTTTGTTTGCGAATTGATGATGCTGACTGAGGAAAAGGGGAATGAAAGGTTATGTAAATTGATAATTGTATAATGTGATCAACCTGACTAGATATCCTGGGAGATGGTGGACGGACTGGGTTCGTAAGGAACCCTACCAGGATCGTGGTCTCTCATACCGGACGGGGTATGGAGATCTTATGTGTTTTGGCGCCCATACCGGACGGGGTATGGAGACCATACCGGACGGGGTATGGAGACGACCCGTTTCACCCTCATACCGGACAGGGTATTGACGTTTATAGTTTTGGCGCCCATACCGGACGGGGTATGGGGACGGCCCTGGAATCTGATTACAAGTGTTAAGGGTTCACGGGTAGCGGGACACCTATGGATCCCCATGGATACTAGTAGGTTGGTAAATAAGGAAAAATATGTCGTGTAATGATTGAGATGCAAAAGGCGTGATAAGTATTATGTTATACAGTTTCTATGATTTCGTGATGATGATAATATTATTGCTTTCGTATATTGTTTTATGAATTTCACCGAGATAAGTGGATAGTAAAAGATTTTATTATTGATAAAAGAATTTGTTGTAAACTATGCTCCATTGGTCCTTTTATGTTTTCTACCCACCTTTACCTCCGTGACGGTGAGATAGTGTGATGTCTTTACTGGGCTGGTGTATCTCATTCCTTATTTAATCATTTCAGATCAGGAAGACATTGTTCCCGAGCCCGTTCCGCAAGAAGACGGCGAAGAGGACGCCTGAAGACTCCGTAGTCATATTTATAGCTTTTATTTTCGAGTTTCTCTCTTAGTTAGTTTGTTCTTTTATACTTTGAGCACGTTTTTGGTTTTAGTGTAAGGGATGTTTAATCAAAATTTTTATTACACTTTCGCATTTGACATTTTTAATACACATATTTCATTTTAAAATTTCCGGGGCCGTTACAGTTGGTATCAGAGCCGCATTTCCTCGGACCCATCCTTTACACAATAGTGCCTTAGAGAAATACTCACCGATAGATCGTTACTCAACCATTCCTTGTGAATGCAGGTACACGAAAATGAGGAGAGGAAGGCCCCCACTGAACCGAGCGGCCCAAGATAATTCCCTTCGGGAGGATTTAGACAGACTATTTGAGATGGTGGAAGCTCTCGTAGCTGCCCAGCAAAGGCGAGAGGAGAGAAGGGAGTTATCCGGACCTCCTTCGCTATCGCAGGTTGAGCCCCCGCTACAGCAGGCTGATCCCGAGCCACCCCGGCAGGAGCCTGTTCCTCCATAGTACCACCCGGCACCACAGCCGCGGTACGACCCAGTACCACAGCCACGGTACCACCAGACACCGCCACAGCACATTCCAGTACCCCCACCACATCAGCAGGTGCCACCACAGGGTCCCCCAGTTCACCCTCAGCCGACCCCAGTCCCTCTACCTCGGGACCCCGCTCCTTCCTTGATCGACCCCGGCTTCATAGAAAGGTACAAAAGACTGAACCCTTCTACTTTTGCAGGGGGATCCTCTTTTGAAGAGGCCCAATACTGGCTGGCAGAGACTGAGAGAGCTTTCGAGACCTTGGGAGTAGTTCTTGAGCAGAGGGCTGCCATTGGCTCCTACATATTGGTAGGGGAAGCAGTACGCTGGTGGGAGCTCAAGCGGACCACCCTGCCTACACCAGCTACTTGGGAGCAGTTCTTAGCGGCCTTTCACGCGGAGTATCTCCCTAAACACATCCAACGCTTAAAGGAAATGGAGTTTACTCAATTGGTCCAGGGAAACATGACAGTGTCGGAGTATGCCCGTAAGTTCCTGGAGCTGGGCCGACATGCCTCGGAGACATTGATGGATGAGGGCCGAAAGACCAGGAAATTCCAATGGGGTCTCTGCCCGGAGATCAGACAGCACTTACTGGTAATGGAGCTTGAGACATATTCAGCAGTCCTGGCAAATGCGCAGATCATAGAAAGGAGCTTCGACACCCACCCTCAACTAGCGGGGAATTCCCGACCCTCAGCCCCGCTCCGCAGGCCAGCACCTACCGCGCCTGT